ATACATTGTAGTGGTGCTAGCGTCGGTAGACATCGCCGACCATGAGAGAGAGGCCGCTATGGCGGCTGTAGGCAGTGTGGCCATATATGGTACGGTGTAGGTAGACTCCGGAAAGATCACGTCCACATTAACCACCCAAGTATTCCACGGCGCCTTGAATAATTTGTTGACATCCTTGCCATATGCGACTTCAAGATCCATAACTTTTTGACTTTCTAGCGGCTGCCAACGCCCAACTGTTGCGGGCTGCGCTGCAGTCGTTGGGGAGGCTACTATAGGAGCGGCAAGGCCGAGCACGATGCAACAACTCGCAGCTCGCATATTTAATGTCAATGATACAACTATATCATTGGAGAATTCGGTAGTTGCTTGGTTTTATATCAATATTTACCCAGAAGGACTGTTGCGAGATCTACTGCTGAACAAACATAGCCGGACGATTCTGGCTTGTCAGCCATCGCGTTTCACCTTTGAGACAGGATCTAGATTTTGCTCTCCTCCTACAGCTCTTTCTGCCCTTTTCTTCTCACCGTTTGTTGAGCCTATTCTTGCTGTGGTCCTCCTCGTCGCAGGTCGCCAGCCATTTGGAAATACCCACACGGTACAGACTAATGGGCAACATGGGCTTCCAGTTTTGGTAAAGCATTTAATTTTCCAATAAATTCCGATGGAACCAAAAACCTGTTGAAATTTCTCAAAGCGACCTTAAATGAGGGCAAAACTCATCTAAATGCTTTTAAGCCTCACTACCATTTTTTCCTCGGTCGCAATAATGATGCGGAGCTGCCGGATGGTGTCTGGTGGCTTAGATTAGCGACAGATGTGTGGAGATTTTGAGGAATGCCAATTTGCCCGTGACTGTATGCGGAAACAGCGAAAAGAGTTACGAGCTTGCACAAGCACGAGATGGAACGATTTGTCGTACCGACTAGGGGGAAAATCGGCATCAGACGGACTAAAATGGAAACCAAACATAGGAGCAATCCAAGCGACGATATAGTTTACACTAGCCATAGGACGTTTCGACAATTAATAGGCAAAATAGTATAAAAGGGCTTTATTAGACTATAAAACTACGTCTACAATGAGTATAATTAGCAATGCTTTAGCTACTATAGATAAGGCGCTAAATACTTAGGGAATAGCCTTTAAGCTAGTGAGTTAGTGATAATAAATTACGTGGAATGTTAGATGCTAAGGATGAAAAGACGAAGTGGAGAGAATAGAGAACGACAGGGATAAAGTAGAAGGGATAAGGCGAGTGGCTAGAAATGTACCTATGAATAGCTAGTGAGCCCTATTGGCTAGAAGCCACCGGGCGTAATAAAATAATGAATGAATGAATGTATGTGGAATCACGAAGCTATTATAAACAAAGGCGGAGCTAGAGCATAGCATCAGGGACATTCAGCGGAAGATGCGTGACCCTTAGAGCGCATTAGTGGCACACTACATGGCGATGTAGCAAGCAGTCGCTACGATGAAACGGCTGTGCAAAACTGAAGACAAAGAGTTCTACCTGGCAAGTTTGCATCGTTCGATTACGCGCGGAAGGATCTTGCCGTGCTTTACCCAGCGAGATCGCTCGCAAAAAAAAAAAAAAAAAAAAAAAAAAAAACAAGCGTAGGAAATCAAAACACGCGCCACCCCGGTTTCCGGCGCTTTTTTTCTTCTTTTTTTCTGACTAGCTGCAGTTACGAAATAATACAAGGCAGTAGTACATATGCATCGAGATTCTTCACTATAACTCGCGTGTATATGTCGTTGGGGTATACACTTACAGCGCTGTGCCTGCAAATTTCGTCACTGCTCCCGCGCTTATCGCGCGCCTCGCCGTCTTTGACGAGATATTCCACGGTGTTCGCGCTGGACAAGGACCAGGCGCAGTGTCGCTCGCAGAGCAGAGAGTCATTGACCTTCCCCACGACAAGCCGGGGTCGATGGCGCTCTTTCTGTTCGCCATGCACTCGCAGTTCGACCACGTGCCAGCTTACCTACCCACCGATGCCTTGTACGAGTTGACAGTGGTCGCGCACAAGTATGGCGCAACGGCTGTTTCGCGGCCTTGGACGGCGAAGTGGACGTGGGCCGTGGCTGTTGAGCTGAAGGGCGAGGATGATAAGACTGCCCAAGGGCATGAGTAGTATTGGTGTGTAGACACAAAGAGCGCGAGCCGTACTCTTTAAGCAGCGAGAGATCTCGTTGCACCTCGTGAGTGTAGAAACAACGATATCATGACGTAGATCTCACAAGTCTATCTGCAACCTCGTCTGATGAGATGACCTACTAGTTCAGGCTAGTGACAGTTGCCTGTGCTTAGTCTAACTGGCCAATATGCATCAATTTACTCCGGCACCTCTAAGTTTCCCTCACAAAGTTGTTAGAGATATGAGCATAGGCTAAGGCAATCGAAATGTTACTTTAGGTTCATTAATGAGAAGCCTTCCCGACCGACAGCCAAGAACAATAGTAGACCCGCTGATTGCAGACTGACAGTACCGGTATTTTGCAGGCAACCAGAGCAAATTTCTTCTGCTGAGTGTAATCCAACTGCTATCCTCCCTTATCCCGTAAACAATAGCGCTGACGTCCGTTCCAACAGGATCAAGCACAGCAGAGATTATATGCCCGTTCGAAGTACCCATGAAATGTACAAGATAATTGGATGTAACTCAGTTGCTGTGACTCTTAAGTGTGCTTCGCAGTGTCCACGTAGTGACGTCCCAGATCTTGACGGTGCGTCGCGCGATACGGACGCCACGCGCGCACCATTAGCGGAAAAAGCAACAGAGCAGAGCTCGCGTCTGTGGCCTTCGAGCGTGCCCTGCAGTGTCCCCATCGCCACGTCCCAGAGCTTGACGGTGCTGTCGTGCGATGTGAACGCCACCCGCCCATCGGCGGAGAATACAACGAACCGGACCGAGCCGCTATAGCCCCATAGTGTTAGCCGTCGCTGAAACCTGGACGCTATAATTCTGAAATGTTTTCCGAATAATACTTGCCTTATAGAGGGCGCAATATGAACCGCAGTTGCTCTAAAAACACTGACGGCGGCCTGTCGCACGTGCCGGTTCTCGTCGTCAAGCCGCCCCGCCGTCTGTTCAATGAGACCACGCGAGATGAAGGCTCTACTGGCTAGCGGCCACATCATTCTTTCTCGGATATAGCTGGACTCTCCGACCAAGGACGTCTTTAAGACTAACTCGGAGGGAGTACCCTCCGCTTGCCAGCGACGCATTTCCGTTGAGTCTGCATCCAAGGAGCAGCCACTGGGCCGTTTTCTCACTAGAGCTCCCGCGTTGGCAAGCTGCTAGATACTTCGCTCAGGCAATGCATAACCAGTCACTGATGCGTAGGACCCAGAGG